TTCTTGTCAATTAAAAATGACAAATTTAGCCTCTTGCAAGGCAGACAAGGAATCAGCCAGTGTGAATCACATAAAGATCTAAGAGTTGGAATGGATCCGAGTCATCCTGACAAATTCTTCTGGTAATTTCTGTGAACTGACAGTCATCCACGGGAACATCTGAGATGTTTCACATGGCACTTGGGTGTTCTGAAGAGCCATTGGCCTTAAGAAAGTTGCAGCAATGTTTCCTTCGTTTGTCCTTTCTCCCTGGCTCTTGTTAAGAATGGCCAACCATATCCACGTTTGTCTTCCCACTGCCCAGACAAACCCAGGGCCACATTCAAGATAAATGTTTGTCCTTTTTAGCTTTTATTTTGAGAGGCACGTTTTCTGGATGTGATATCCATTTGCTGGTTATTCATTTTGCTTTCTGCTTCAGGGATGTTGATAAAGAGGCTGGAGCTAAATCATTGCTTCCCCTCAGCCAACACACAGAAGGTGTCCTGTTGCCTTTTACATCCTGAAGGCAAGTGAAAGTTATGTGTCGTTGTGTGTGGCAATCATTGTGTTGCTGTTCCTTTCTCAGTATATGGATGTGTCAAGAGGGTGACTGTTGATCATCTGGAGGTGGTGGTGGGGGCAGATGTGGAAGTAGGTGGGAAATCCCTGGTTCTTCTCTTCTACCTCTAATTCCTTTCGGATACTCTGACTTTATGTGAAGTGGATTTCTTTGCATAGTCAGATTGATCTGCCTTTCTCAGATATTTTCCTGAGTAGAATTTTCACTAAGGTGGGCTTAACTAACGATAGAAAGAATGTAATCCATCTGTGAAAACCTCTTAATCTTCATGAGGAAAAAAAAGAAATCAGATACATAGGGGCTTTGTAAATTTCATTTACCTCTGCTTCACTTCCTTCCATTTACCAAAAAAAAAAAAAAAAAAATTGATTGCATGCACATAAGGAAAGGAGCCAACCCAACATTTTCTACAAGATGCAGCATGCATTGCTGGTGTCCATAAATGATAGGCTGGTGAAGTCATGGAAAAACAGAGCTGCTTTTAGTAAACTTTCCAGTTGGTGAAGATAGTTATATGCATAATAATGTTGACAATGAAAGTAACAATAGTTTTTGAGTTCTTACTATGTATAAGTCCCATTGGCCAAGTGTTTTATACACATTCAGTCATTCAATTGCTCCAACAATCATACAAGGCAGTTACTATTATTTATCTTATTGTGTCCAAAATAGACCTCTGGATTCCACCTCCCAAAATCTATTCTTCCCCCGGACTTTGTCTTCACCATAAATGATACCACTAGCAACTCAACTGCTCTGGCCACAGACCTGGTAACAAATCATCTTTAGTTCATCTCTTTCCCTTTGACTCCCACATCCAATCTGACAATAGATTCTGCCAAACATGACAGCATATTTCCTAACTTAGTCTCTTTGATATGATTCCTATTTACCTCTTAAACCTTACCCTCCCATCACTCTTCTTGCTCACTTCCCAGTGGCACTGGCCTTTCTATTCCTCAAATGTGTTACATTTGTTGGAAATATATATTTAATGTATCTTGAGACCTTTCATTCTGTTTACAGTCCATTGCTATAACATTAGCCTAAACACCATCACCTCCAGCTCAAAGGATGGAAACAGTCTCCCGACTGGTCTACACGCTTTCACTCTCACTCCCTTATAAAGATTTAACAATAAGAATGAGCCTTGAATCATGAATCTAATCATGTCACCTCACTGCTTAGACCTCCCGTGGCTTTGCATTGTTCTTAGAAGAAATCTATATTTCCTAACTTGTCTGCCTGATCTGATTGTTGCCTGCTTCTCATACCCCCACTTCCCATCACTGCCTCCCTCGCTCTCTATGTCCCAGATATACTGGCGTTTTTTCTCTCCCCGTGAATATGTCTCACTCATTTCTGCCTCAGAGCTTTGAACTTACTGTTTCTTTTTACTAGGAAATACTTCTCCTGTCTTTCCGGGACCGGCTGCACATAATGGTCATAATTTTACATTTGTAAGTGAAAAGGAAATAGTAATCAAAGAGCAATAATGTGCGGCCACATTGTCTCCACTGTTGGAAGAAGGCGGAGGGACAGGTTTAGGAGGAGTCTGGATGACAGACAGAGCAGCAGATCGTAAAGAGAGTGACTAGATTTTGTGTGTAAGAATTGCGTTGAGGGCGCCTGGGTGGCTCAGTTGGTTAAGCGACTGCCTTCGGCTCAGGTCATGATCCTGGAGTCCTGGGATCGAGTCCCACATCAGGCTCCCTGCTCAGCAGGGAGTCTGCTTCACCCTCTGACTGTCTCCCCTCTCATGCTCTCTCAAATAAATAAATAAAATCTTTAAAATATATATATACTCTTCCTTAATGTTTCATGTGGATACATTTTGCCTTATCAACAGTTTGTAAGGTCCTTGAATCCAAAGATTGGTCTTCCATAGTCTTTGGCACGCAGAAGGCTCTCTAAAGGTAATTTGTTATTCATGTAACTATATTTCTCTAGATCCCTAGAGACATTTGGCAAGTTGTTATTAAATCCTTGCTGAAGTTATCAGTAGCTATGCTGCTACTTTGCCGCAAAAGCAATACTACATCAAATAGAATTGTTAGGACACAAAGTTCAACTTAAAAAAAATAAAATAAACGAATGAATTTTGAGTTTATTTGAATGAACTCCCATACATATATAAACATACACATTCATCCACTCCATTCTTAAATCCTTCACAAGGAGGTTTCTTAATGGAGTCATGATAAATCATTGTTCACATTACCACAGTTGAGTTGGCCTTCTACAACTGAATGGGAAGTAGTATGAAGATAGAATGTAATATCAGAATTATAGTGAGAGATAGGCAAAAGGAAATCCCATTCCTCAAACTCAGTCGTATTAGACTGGTGTCCCTAGGTCATCTCAGATAGCTGTTTATCTCAAGTAACCCATGATGAGTTGTTTCTACTCATACCCAGAACGTCTGAGTTATCCCTGCTGTCAGTGGGTTACAGGGCAATGGATTACACAGTCAGTGCATTACTTCAACCAGGTGGTCCTTTAATCATTTGCTAACTAATTTATTTAATATTTATGAAACTCTTATAAACTTAGTCTTGCATGACCACACAAAACAGCTAAATGGACATGTAAAAATTCCTCAGCCTTAAAGTATAACTATAGGTAAGGGAAGTTTGACCCAGTACTGGCAAGGCAAGCATTTGGAGGCTAGGAACCTGCTACTAAGCTGGGGTTGCTCACTTAGCGAGTTGCAAATTCGTTTTCTTATATAGTGGGAAAAGATATTTCTGGGTTCTGACATGGCTGTGGATACAAAAGAAAACAAATTCACACACTCAGTTTCCCTGACTTAGCAGATGTCTCACTTTGTGTGGCTTGCCAATACCACCAAAATTTGGGCATACCTCTGTGAGATACAAAGAGAAGCAATGGGGAGCTACATTCTCTCCCAACATTCTTGTCTGATATTTAACCTTTGCTTTGTTCATTGGCCGCTTTGAGAGTAAAACAAAGAAAAAGTAACCTTGAACCAAATTCACATTATTATTCTCTCTCATTCCCTAATACAAAATAGTAATCTTAGCCTGACTTATTGCAACTATTCTATGTTCCAAGAATGCAAAGATAATTAAGCTGGAATCCCTTTCCTTGAGAAATCTTCAAGTATAGACATATCACACACACACACACACACACACACACATCCATCCATGCATCTACACACACACATATAAGAAGCTAAGGAGGGCTGAGGAGGGAGCCAACACTGTTGTTAGGGTTAGGAAAGGTAGGGGCAGGAGAAAAGAAAGAAAGGGCATTTGAAAATTTTTCTTGAACCTGGTCTTGAAGACCGATAAGGAGTTATCCAGGCTGAATGACATCCCAGGTAGAGGAAACAGGGTGCTAAAAGAATAGAATGGGGTAGAATATGTCCAAACATCAAGTCTAGGCTTGATGAAGTCCCCCGGAAAGGGGAAGGCAATGATTAGAATTCATAAGGCAGAATTCGTGGTAACACTAACATTCAAGGAGATGAGAACCTGAAAAAGACAGAAAAGGAGCATTCAACAGGTATGTGGGGAACCAGAGGAAAATTATATTAAAGGAGGAGGTGTTGGGTGGGAGGCACCTTCTGGATATGGCAATTAGATGATGGTTGGTTTCGTTTGCTGGGCACCGAGGCCACTGTTCAGGGGGTTGTGAGGGCAGAAAGCAGTTGATCTCATTTGAAGAATGAATAGGAGGAGAGAAAACAGAGACATTGATGTAGACCACTTACATAGAAGGCTACTCTTGTAAGAAACTGAACATGAAAAGGAGGTCAAGACAGTACCTAGAGGGGATGCATACAACTGGTATGGTTTGCATGCAAAGAATTCCAGCAAGAAGTCAGTAAGGAGGGAGAAGTTAAAGAGAAAGTTAAACACCTTGATTGCTGCAGGAGTGAAAGGGAAGCTCCAAGTGTTGACAGAGGAATGAGCTTGAGTGAGACAGGCGTGAGTCTCCAAGACAGGTAAATACCAGTGAGGATGGGAATACGGGAAGAGGTTAGAGCTCTGAGCCTGCTGGTAGCTATTTTACATGAGAAGTAAGAGACAAAGTTTATTATATCAAGTTACAAAATAAAAGGATTATCTTAAAATATCCAGACGTCAGAAACCAATGGGAGGAGAGTCCTGGAAGAAGAGGACCATTGAAATAAGGCTGTAAGTTTGGCCCCGGAAGTGAATAACTTTTGTCCCTTTGGAGGGAGGGAGGAAGAAAGATCAAAAGGATCGTCTCTCTCACCAAATAAACCTCTTACTTTCTAGGATAGAAAAGCAGGGGGCTGGTCCAACTTTGCCAACTGAACTATCTCTCCACAAATAGGAGTGCTTTGGGTGCCTTTATTCATGAAGGTTTTACTTTTGAATAATTCAAAATACTTTATAAAATATTTTTAATACAATATTACAGTAGTAGTAATCAAAGAAAAAATAGATTTTAAGATAGAGCCATGAATAGAAGTTATTTACAAACCTAATTGAAGGCACAGAGTATAACAAAAAGCACATAAAAGCAAAACTTTGGTAGATTTTTATTTTGGATTCTACATATTTCACTTTCCATTGCAACGATATTCATGAAATGCAATGATGGGAGCGTAACAGCAACTTTAAAAAGATGAAGTATCTTTTCCTTAATTAATGTCTACAAAGAGATTTAATGATTAAAAGTGCCATTAAGTGCCAAGTATTATTAATTATTTTCTGCTGCAAGAGGCACAGAGTTCTCATTATATACTGTTTTAAATATTATAAAATATTTACAAAATAAGTTTTTAAAATTGCAAACAAGCCAAATAAAAAGGCATTTTCCTTTTTTAGGTGAAACTAAGATCAAAGCCCAAAGGAAAACTGAATTTACATCATACATGAGAAGCCTTCAGGATGCTCTAAAGATACTGGCACTTTGTTCTTTTTCCATATCCCTTGTACTTCTGCTGTCTGCAACAACTGAAGCAGGTTACAACTTAAAATTAGGGCACAGATGTTAATTTTATCAGATGGCAAATACATACCGAGATCCCACTCATCCCATCTTTGTCCAGCCACCTAGTGTGGAGCTATCCCCTGAGGACTGGGTCCTCAGAACTATTGGTCATCTCTGGGTCCGGTCTAGGTTGGAGTCAGTCCCCATTCCAGTCCCAAGTTGGTCCAGAATGAACAGGCCATTTATTTAATTGAACACTTGCTCTGTGCCACGCACTGCAACAGTTCCTGTTCTGAAGTTATACATTATCTACCAGAGAACTTTACTTCCCAAATTATTATTGTCTTAGTCTATGTTATCAAGACATCATTGACTGAGTGGCTTAGCAACAATTTATTTCTCACAGTTCTGGAGGTAGGAAGTCAAAGTCAAATTGCTGGCAGACTTGGTGTCTGGTGAGCACCTGCTCCCTGATTCTCACAGGGTTCTGTCCTCACATGGAGGAAGAGTCAAGGGAGCTCTTTTAGGTCTCTCTTATAAGGGCACTAAGTCCACTTATGGGGTATCTGCTCTTATAACCTACTCACCTCCCAATACCCACCTCTAAACACTGTCACATTGGGGATTAGTTTTCAACACATAAATGTTGGGGGGACACAAAGCGTCTATAGCAACTATTTTATTGTCAGGCCATGCCTTATATTTTCTTGTGAGAGCGGGCCATAGTAGAGAAGGTCAGCTGGCAGGAGAAAATAGTAAACTTCTCATTTTTTATGTTTTCTCTGAAGACGCTCTGGCTCTAACCATTTATGGAATTATTGTGCCTAACATCAAGGAACCACATATTCCTTGGGGTTGCAACTCATTGATCCTGCCTTTAGCCTTCTGGCTGGCTGGTTGCTTGCTTGGATTCAGCCCAGCACAGATGGTAGCACCACTCAATCAGAGGAGGATGACACATGGTTTCCTGATTCTCCTTCAAGTTGCTACTTTGCTTGTAAGAGCTCATTTCCTGGGAGTCCAAATAATTACATTTCACCTGCGCTACATACTCCATAATTACATTGTTTTTTAAATTATGCTTGGTGACAAAGTTATCAAAATTCAACGTGATCAAAACCAAAATAAAATCTGAAAGAAAATGACTCTTGCTCTATCATCACAGTAATTTACAAACAGGACACTTTGCACATTTCCTGGAAGGGCATTAACTGGACCCTTGGTTAAAACCCCTCAGATAGTTGGCTACTTTGGAACCAAATGATGAAAGTTTTAGAAATACTGTAACTTCTCTAATGTATTCATGAGTGTGACGAAGGGGCATCGCTACAGGCATGGAGGGTGAGTGGTGACAGGCAAGCATGTGAGGGTGATGGGGAAGATGGTCACAGTAGTGTTGCCTCGTGAAGCTGAGCAGTTTCTACTTTGATTTCTTCTCCTTCCTGTTCTTCTTGTCCCTTTCCCTTCCTCTCTCTGCTCTGCTCTTCTTTCCTCTGCCCCTTTCCCCTCCTCTTTCTCCTCCTCCTTCTTCTTGTGCTTGTGTTTCTGTTTCTCTTCTTCCTCTTTTCCTTTCTTCTCCTCCACCTCTTTCTTCTCTGCGTTCCACTTTTCATTTTTCCCTCTTAGTAGACATTCAGCCAATATATTTTGACTTGATGTGAAGTGATGGCATCTATATTACCCAATTTTTTTCTCCTCCCTGAAAATTCTAGGAAGTTGAGACAGATTTAACAGTGGCAAAGCTTTTGGATATGTACCAGGTAAGACTTGGAGAGATATTTAAAGATACTGAAGTTTTAATCAAGGATGCTGGCATCAATGTATGCTTAGGTTGTGCTTACAGAATTTCAATGGGACTTGTTTGCATTTGAGTTCTCTGGTATTAACAGAAAGAGTTGCACTTAGAACATGCAAGAGTATTCATTCAAAAAAGCATTAAGATAATCTGATGAGGGCTCTTATTATTTTCCAAATGCAGTTTTTTTTTGGTCATGGTTCACTGGAATTCTCACTGGCCAGGTGATCCTTAGAAACCTAACTTTAACTGACAGCTCTCCTTACTCTGCAGGTATTTTCACATATCCCATCACTTGAAGGTAACCAAACTCACCAGAGGATTTTTCAATGTAGGAAATGGCAGTGTCTGCTTCAAATGGTCACCAGAATTGGCTTCACCAGATAGGCAGCACTGGAAGCACAATTTGAATAACGTGATGTAAGAGACATTGGGGACACTATCCCATCTCTCACTGCCAATACCCCTTCTCTAGTGTCCAAAAACCCACCATTCAAAATTCCTCTTTCTCTTTGAACCTGACCTCAAAGAAGAACTTTACTAAGAACATACTAAGACTTCTCAGGATGAGTAAGTGTCAGAGTGAAGTCTGTCAGGGATATATGTAGGGACTGACGTAATTCAACTCTTATAAATGATCTGGAAGAAGAAGAATAAATCTCTAAGGCAGATAACCCTAAGTGCTTCTAGGTAGTTTAATGCCAAGATGCCACGGACCATTTCCTAGGAGGATTGTACAAGGGAATAGCCGATGTGATACCAGTGTATTTGGAAAAGAACAATCCAAATCTTCCTTGGAAAAGGATGAACTACCAGTTAGAACAGCAACAACAACAAAATTCTTCTTTGGGGTTCCTCTCGTCAACAAATTCTGGATGAAGTCCCCTGTCCAAGTAATTCTTACAATGGTGATGGGGACTCATTACCTCCTCTTCTCTCCAGACACTGGGAGATCGCTAACTCCCTGTGGAAGGTGTGATATTGAGGAGAAAAGAAATAATCCCAAGGTGACTTAGGAGACCCCAAAGCCAACTTTACAGTTTGGGGGTGGGGTGGCTTTTATCTGGGATGCTGAGTACTGGTAATCTTGCCCATTGGAGGAAGCCCCTTCCCAACATCTTGGTGAACGCACGTGCCATGGCTGCTATTTTTGTACTTTTAGGTCAAGGTGTTCCTAGTCTGAGAATACTGGGGTATGGTCCCCTGAAAAATATTGCTGTGCTCAAGCTGTCTGCATATGAGATTATACAGGGAGCTTTCTTGCTGATTATCTTTTGTCAGACATGAAGCATTAAAGGTATTTGCTTTATCAGGACAAGTGAGCCATTTAGTGCCACTGAGTATCTTACCCCTGGATACCACTATGGTATCCAGCCTGGATGTTTTATTACCTTTTATATAGATATATTGAAATGAGATGCTCATCACCACAGGCTTCTCCCCATTGTACACATCCATATTCACTCTCTGGCCTGGAATTGTCTTCCTAAGGTCATATGGGAACAATTTTTCTCTCCAACACCCCCAGATTTACAGGATTTCTATTTTATATGGCTTTATGCCATGTTTTCAGCTTAAAGGCAGGTAAAACAAATTTTTTTTAAAAGCCTAGCACCGCCAGAGAAGGAAGGAAAAGCAATTAAAATATATGCAGATGATTGCAAGGTAGAAAGAAAAGTGGAAATTTTTTCGTTGCAAATGGTGTACGTGATGAAGTATTTCTTTGAATGTCCCTTTCTGTGGATTGAAGCGATTGCTCATTTGTACCAAGGAAAGGTGCTTTAGATTAATTTTGGAAACTTCAATACTGCAATGTGCTAAATTTTAATTATTTCACTTCCTGCTTGGTATATTAATGTTGTGATTACCCTTGAAAGTGTATTACCGATGATGATTTATGCAAAACCCAGTCAGCTCCCCAGCTCCATCAGCTTCAATTAAAACAAGCCACGGAGGAAGTGTGCTTGCTGCCGTGTTGGCTGTGGATCCTCATTACTCTCATGAGCAGGTACAGTCCGTTTACTTAAAGCATTACTTTTGTTTATCGTTCTGGAACCATCTCTTCCACCACGCAAGGAACCACGGAGAGAGGAAATTGTAGAGATTTGGTCTGCTGGCTTTGAATTCAAACTGAAACCGTCCAGGAAAATGTATTTTATCTGTACTTCTCTACTGATGTAGAACATTTGGGGCCAATCCTTCCTCTCTTGAACTGTTCAAGGGATGAACTGGCCAAAAGAACTATTAAGAACTTATCATTTTCTGATTTCAATGAACGGTGTGTAGCCAGCCTCATAAGGAGTTAATCATAAAGTATGTCCGCTTTCTAAAATGAAGCACTGTTTTCGGAGCTCATTTATCTCAATGACTTTAACTATGGAGAGGTCATAGGGTTTTTCATGACGCGTCCCCAGTCCCCAGTCCCTCTAATTACTAATTTGGCTGCACGGTTATTGAAATCTCCTGTCTACCTGGCAGCCCTTCCTAAATCTATTCCAAACAATGTCACTGAGTTTTCCTGCCAGGTCCAGGAGGGGCTCTTCTTTCTGAGTACCAGAGAGACAGGCAGCCAAACCTGATTTCAATGGCAGTTTCATTTTAATCACATTTGGAAATTCTTGACTACAGGCTGCCCATTTATAAAGTCAAGGGAGCCTGCACCTGCCAAGGCTCCGGACAGCCTGCCAGGAGCCAGGAGCAGGAGCTCATTCTCGGCAAAGAAAGGAAAGTGCATCCACCTTCATTTTTTTTTTTTTTTTTTGCAGCGACCCATGACTTGGATGGAATCACGGAATCATGGAGCTGAGGGATCTAGGGCTCCTTAGGCTCATACATGGTCTCAAGTTGACACTTCTTTCCAGCTTCATCTCCTGCCCCTCCCCTCATGCACTCTACACTTGGCCCACACACTGGAAGGTATCAAGAGCGTTCCCAGCATGAAGCCTATGCCCTGACTGCACTCTCCATCTGAAAAGCTTTGTTCATGTATTTTGAACGGTCAGTTTTTGTCTTTGTCTTTGGAATCCTTTAGGCTGATGCTCAAATGTTTCTTCCTCAGGAGGCTTTGACCACCATATTATTCTCCATCCTAGCTTGTTTACTTCTTTTATGGCCCTTACCACAGTTGGAAAGGTTGCTTCTATCTTGCCTGAGCCCTCTGTTACAGTGTGATAAGCTCCACTGGGTTTAGGTGCCCCCCTGGCATGCCTGGCACAGAGCACAGAGCTGGGGTGAAGGGTCACCGTTTCTGTCCCCCGTGCTGAGGAAAGTGATGTTTCATTCTAGCTACAATTCCCATTCCCATTTATTCAACAGGCATTATTGATGATGACTAGATGAACCACTCACTAAAAGGCACTTTTCCAGGAGTATTCTTATTGGTATTGTTTACAGAAGGCCAAGTCTTGCTGCGTTCAGTGTGGACTTTGATTTGAGATCCACTGTGCTCATTTGGGGGGTTGGCATTTATTCTCAGGAGATGTGTCATAGTTAGCATGATAATGGTTAAAGCACTGCTTCCCTGGACATGTTGTTGAGTCACATTCCAGTGACTACCACCTTCTACCCAGGGGTAAAAGGGCCAGGAAAGCCCCTAGCAAGGAGAGTTGTCAAGTTAGTGTAATCTTTCTCACTCTCCAAATGTTAACCTCTATTATCCTTGTATTTGTCTCCCCTAACTGCTTCTTTTTGCTGATATTTAGTTGCAATATAGCCTGTTTTTGTCCTTTTTCTTCATCTATCAATACTGTACAATTTCTTTCTGCCTTCACAGCCTAATCCTTGAAAACCACACACTTTTTGCGACACTCATGCCCTTCACCTTGAAGTCTTATCTCTCTCCTGCCCCATCCTTCATGGTGGCCCTGTCAGACCCCCTAGAGTTCCCTGTCATTGTCCATGAAGCAGAAATTACATTCCAGGGTATCTCCAGTGTTTTATCTTCTGCCTCCTGACTGGCCTGACCAGCAACCCCATTCCTATATAGTGTTTGCGGGGTCACCTGTGCAGAGGGACAATACTTGGGGCCTCCAGAGGGCTTAATGACCCTGACTTGGTCATCAGACAGATGCTTCAGTCCTGGAACTTCCACCTTCCAGCTTTGTGATCTGATGCAAGTACAAATGCTCTGAGCTTGGATTTCCAATAACACTGAAATAATAAAACCTCATAATTATTACTGTGAGAATTAAATAGGCAATGTGTAATAGCTTGGGATAGTTCTGGCACACAGAACATAGAAAATAAACTCAGATCTTTCTTTAGAATAGCATTGGGAAGTTCTTTACCCTCACATAACCCAAACCTAAAACTATAGCATCAGCAATTTTCTTCTTTGGAATAGGCACTCCTTTTGTGGTCCTTTACAAAAATGAATATACTCTTAAGGCATGGTATCCATCAGGATTCTGACAGGAAAGAGATGGTACACCTCAAGAAGTTTTAACTAAAGAGATTTTAATAAAAAGTATGGGCAGAATTAAAGGAACCCCTAGGGGATGGAGAGCTACCCAGGGCCCTGCAACAGCAAGGAGCTAATACCACCCTTAGAAAATAAGGTGGTGTAATTTTAATAGCAGAGAAAAATGTAGAACAAAATTGCAGCTCATTGTTTGAGCTCCTGTCCTATGTCAAGTTATGTGCTTGGCTGGTTGGTGGCTCTAAGAGAGCTTATAGTCAAGTTAGGGGTGAGAACACAGAAGCTACTAAGCACAATGGTCCTCAAACCTCAGCTTGCATCAGAATCAGATGTCAGACTTGATAAAACCCAGATCACTGGGCCTCAGCCCCAGAGCTTCTGCTCCAGTGGGTCTGGGATGGGGTCTAAGAATTTGCATCTCCAACAAATTCCCCTAGAATGCTGATGCTGCTGGTCCAGAGCCACACTTTGAGAACCATTAAACTATGACAGTATATAACAGGATACTAAATATGAGTGCTCCTACAGTTTTAGGGGCAGAGACTCCAAATTTGGAGAACAATAAATGACAGATCCCCCACAGTGAAGAGGCTAAGCATGTGTAAAGCTGCCTTCATGACTCTCAGCTCTCCTGTCCCTTCAAGACAGATTAAATTTAGGTTAGGGAATGGATCAGAGAAGTCAATAACAAGGGCTACTTTAGAGAGAATCATCTGAGTGCCTTGGCCAAATGAGGGAGCTTGCAAGAATCTACTTATTAGGTGTCTCATGGAGGTGGGAGAAGTAGAAACTGATGCCTGGATACTCACCTGACACACGATAGGTGCAAGGCTGGCTAGAGAAACCCAAGCGGAAGTAAAAGGTTATGTTGGGATGGCCTACATTTCCATGGCTTGCTGGGGCAAAGATAGGTGAGTTTTCCTCTGGGTCAAATGAACTTGCAAAAGGCTACCAGCCTGGAGTTGTCTTAAAAAGATTCTGTTGGATTGCAACCCAAAATATAGAATAATTACTCACAAGTCCATAGTGGTATAAATTAATGATTAAATACATAAACAAATGGATGAGATTAGACAAATCCCCCATGCAGAAGAATTTCAAAGAGTTTCTGTAGCTACTCTGTCCTCAAGGTAATGGAACATGACCCCCCCGCCCCAAGCCCCTCTCCTTCAGTGTAACTTCCTTCCAAAGAGTACAGTGTGGAAAGGGGGAAACACAAAGAGTGACTTTCCAATGCCAAAACCTGACAAACACTACTTCAGCCAGGTGATCAAGGTCAATAATAGCATGCACTCTGGATATGTGATGAGAATAGCACTTTGCCTCTGTGGTCTTCCTGCCCCAAACTCATAACTCCAGTATAATCATGAAAGAACAGCAGACAAATCAAAATCAAGGACATTCTACAATATACATGACCAATACTTGTGGCACACCTCAAGAAGTTTTAACAAAAGACGTTTTAATAAAAGGTATGACCAGTACTTGTCAAAATTTGTCAAGCTCATCAAAACCAAGAGAAGTCTGAGAAACTGTCAGAGCTAAGAGAGGCCCAAGGAGACATGAGGACTAAAAGTAATCCGGTATCCTGGATGAGATCCTGGAACAGAAAAAGGACATTAGAGTTTTAAAAGTAAAAGAAGAAGAAGAAGAAGGTAGCGGGAGGGGAAGAATGAAGCGGGGGAAATCGGAGGGGTAGACGAGCCATGAGAGACGATGGACTCTGAAAAACAAACTGAGGGTTCTAGAGGGGAGGGGGGTGGGAGGATGGGTTAGCCTGGTGGTGGGTATTAAAGAGGGCACGTTCTGCATGGAGCACTGGGTGTTGTGCACAAACAATGAATCATGGAACACTTCATCTAAAACTAATGATGTAATGTATGGGGATTAACATAAGAATAAAAAAAAAAGTAAGGAAATCTGAACAAAGAATGGCCTTTAGTTAATAGTAAAGTATAAATACTGGTCCGTTAGTTGTGTCAAATGTACCATCGTGATGTCAGAGGTCAACAATAGGTGACACTAGGTGGGAGATATATGGGAACTCTCTGTATTATCTTGGCAACTTTTCTGTAAATCTAAAACTCTTCTAAAATTAAAATTTTTTCTTAAAAATACCTCTGTTGGGGCGCCTGGGTGGCTCAGTCAGTTAAGCGACTGCCTTCGGCTCAGATCATGATCCTGGAGTCCCGGGATCGAGTCCTGCATCGGGCTCCCTGCTCGGCAGGGAGTCTGCTTCTCCCTCTGACCCTCTTCCCTCTCCTGCTCTCTGTCTCTCATTCTCTCTCTCTCAAATAAATAAATAAAATCTTTAAAAAATAAATACCTCTGTTGTGTTGACCATCTGCGGAGCAAGGTGGCCACCAGAGTAGGGTCCTGTTGCTTGGATGGCCAGAAGCTGGCGATGCAGAAGTTCCATTCACAGCCAGCTGGAAGAAGCTTAGCTTGTTCAGGTAACGGCAGTGAGATGGCTCGGGTGGCAGCAGGAGGGCAGGGTGGTTCTCTGAGGAGTCTACCAAATTCCCACACAAGAGAGAGACATTTGGTCACTGGACATGCACAACTGACCTTGACCCCAGGATAAAAACACATTAGCCCTGTAACACTGGAACTGTTTTCTGAATTCACTACTGTCACCCGCATTGCCTCGTGCTCCCTACAGCCAAACAAGGAAGGGCCAGAATATGTAGTTAGCAAGTAAAAGAGAAGGAGGAACAAAGAGGAGAGAAGACACCAATCATCCATGTCCCTCCTGCAAAATTCCAAGGCCCCCTCCCCCCGGACACAATCAATTATTGACAGTAGATTTGTCTACACTTTTAGTTTCTGCAAGTACACCATTCATTAATACCTGAGAATGACTGGAAAAGCTATAGGATCTCCCCAAGACTACATCAAGGAACAAAGGAGAACAACCTATCCAAAAGTGCAAGTTTAAAAGGCAGTAATGACCAAAAAAAAAAAAAAAAATCAAGTTACTTTCTGCTTGTATCCTACTGAATTCAGCTTGTTTAAGTAACTTGTTACAATTCATTGTGCTGTGTTCTAGTCAGTATATGGGTAAGAGAAGTAAGGAAAATCAGAGACACAGCATTTAACATGGACCAAAGTAATGAATGCAAACTTGCCACATGAAAAGGCAGCTCGGGGGGCTGCATTCAAGCACAAGGGAGGAATTTTCAGGTGGCAAGCACAGTGCACACATGTAAACATACCCCCTGCCCCCCAAACAGAACATAGGAGCAAGCTTGGGGCATGATAAGTGCAGGGCAGGTTGGGAGCATCATGGGTGTACCATGGCATCCACAGAGGGGCGTGCAGTACAGTGGGAGGCTGAAAACATGTTACCTGCTCCTTGCTGAGAAGCGACTTGCAGTAGAGAGTCTACCGTGCCTGGTCCCAGAAAAAGTTGACATGGACTTGACATGGAGAAGAACCTGAGGGGATGGATCAAGTTGATATTTCTTGAGTAAAAATCCTAGAGATTTTGTGATGTGAGGTATAAAGGAGAAAGAGAATCAAAACTCTCAGTTTCAAGACCTGATATGGCCCATTAATGATACCAAAACCAATATGGGGAAATAAAGCAGAGCAGGTTGAGTGTGGGTCGGTGTGTGGTTAGGGGTAGTCAGTTCAGTTTGAGAGTTTTTATACTTTTTAAGATTTTATTGATTTATTTGTTTATTTATTTAGAGAGCTCGCGCCATGAGTTTGGGGAGAAGCAGCGGGAGAGAGAGAATCTCAAGCAGACCCACATTGAGTGCAGAGCCCAATGCCAGGCTCGATCTCACAATCCTGAGATCATGACCTGACCCAAAATCAAGAGTCAGACTCTTAACTGACTAAGCCACCCAGGCACGCTTCAGTTTGAGACTCTTAAGGGACATCCAGAAAAACCATGGTATCACTCAGAGTGTGAATTAACTTATCAGTAAACTCATGCTTCCTGCCAAAATGTGCTTAAGATGTACCTTTCTCTCAACCCTGCTCTGATGTTTCTTTATTCCTATTCTTATCTGGTCCCTCATCTTCTTCCAAAACATTATTGCTTACTTATTCCTTTCTATGTGTCTTCAGCACATAATAAAACTCTAATATAGTTCTTAGTCAAAAATAATCTTAGTCAAGATTATCAGTGGTTCTGTGTTAATCTCCTATGCTAAGTAAAGAGCTCCTAGCAGTAAGGAGCCATATTTGAGCCCTTTACTGAACCTGTTGACACAGTAGGTACTCAATAAATGTCTGTTGAATAAATGGATGAATATACTGGTCTTCCTCTGATATAAGAAGGTCCACTGAGGCAAAAGAATGTGAAGAGAGGTAGAGAAAGAGAAGATAAAGGATGAAGAGGGTAAGGGGTGGAGGCTGAGCCAGGCAGCTCACATGGGTGCTACCAGCATTGTCCAGAGAGGGTGGGATATTGGTGTTCTAGAGCACTCTCATTGACTTAGTCTTGTTTTATGTCACTGTTGCCTCTGGTTACTCTTGATAAAGATTGATGTGGCTTTGGCCACAGGTCCAGTGTGACAGTGAAGGATAGATGCATGGTCTCTTTTCTGAGACCTGGAGTATGATGTGATATTTGGGCCACACTGTCTCTCTGAGTCTAAGACTTGCCTTTTCAATGTGACTTTTTGTACCTCAAGCAGAGCTCCGCTGAGTGGCTGGGGACTGAGGTCAGCCTAGCATAATGTGGAATGCCAGCCACAGAGCCATGTACATGTGATGATTGCAATTTACAGTAATGTTTTCTTTTCACTCAAAATTCCCCTGAGGAAGAAACAAAATTATTCCATTGGCTAGGAATTTCTGGTTCTAAAGGAGGTATAAAGAAATAATAATTTGAGCATACCTAGGATCTGTGTTGATAGGTCATAGACACATAGATAGCTTAAGATTTTAGATGTAGTAAGCTTTTAAGAATGCAAATTTTCATTAACAGGTTTACACTTAAGTGCCTGGGGTCTAAGTAAGACCACATGCAGAAATGAAGAAAATGGCCTTCAATTGAAATCTTTCCAAATTGGCCAGAATTATTACTATTTTTTTTAGAAAGAAAGAGCATGTGTGAGTGGGTGGGGGGTGGAGCTGGGGCAGAGGGAGAGGGAGAGGGAGAATCTTAAGCAGGTTCCATGCTCCACACCCAGCACGGAGCCTGATATGGGGCTCGATCTCACAACCCTGAGATCATGACCTGAGCCAAAATTAAGAGTTGGATGCTTAACAGACTGAGTCACCCAGGCATCCCAAATAGGCCAGAATTCCTTTTTAAAAGACTTCATTTATTTATTTGAGAGAGAGCACGAACAGGGAAAAGGGGAAGGGGCAGAGGGAGAAGCAGACTCCCCACAGAGCAAAGAGCCCGACGGGGAGCTCAATCCCAGGACCCCAGGATCATGACCTGAGCCGAAGGCAGACACTTAACCAACTGAGCCACCCAGGCACCCCCAGAATTCCTTTTTAATTAACAATATCTAACAAAGTAATTTTATTTTTGTAATTCATATGCAATTGATTTCCTGTATCTCCAGTTCCTAATAGATCAATAAATTAAAGATACTCAAAACTTATTAGTGATATGGTCAACATACATTGCTTTGAATAGAGTATCTTGTGCTCTATTTAGAATTTGTATTAGTCATTCATGCTATCCTAAGAGTATCTACTGCTGGGCAAATGGACCAGAAAGGGTATATATTTCTTCTCTACTCAACCTGAAGTGCAACTTGAATCAATTTATTGTATACCCAAACTATGCCAAAGTAATCCAAGAAAAGTAATTGTGTACTTGGCATTGCCTGAAACTACAGGGAGAGGAGCAAGTTACTATCACAGGGAACAAAGCCTGATCTTGGGTCTGTTGAACCAACCCTGGGGGCTGGGAGCTCTAGGCTGCAGGGTCTTGATGCCCTGAAGGAGATTCAGTTCTGTCTGCAAAGAGCTTGTAGGTAAATGGACCATGGGAGAAACAGTCATGCAAAATAAATAAAATAATAAGATAAATTAGGATTCAAGTTACTAACACCTTGAGGAAAAAATAACCTCATGGAAAATACTAGAGCCAATAATTCCACTCTGTCCTTCATAGGCCTTCTTTTCTCTGCTTGTGCTTCTCTTGGACAATCAGACTAGTGGGAATTTCCTCATCACTACTGGAGACTTACGGCTGGGCGCCGGCTGATTAAAAATTGTCAAGTCCATCCAGAATCCAGTAGGGTTGGAAACATTGGTTTCCCTTTAGCCATTTTTACCACCAGCAATCCAGCTGGAGAACTAATTTTTTTTCTTTTTTTCTTTTTTTTTATTATGTTATGTTAATCACCATACATTACATCATTAGTTTTTGATGTAGTGTTCCATGATTCATTGTTTGCATATAACACCCAGTGCTCCATGCAGTAAGTGCTCTCTTTAATACCCATCACCAGGCTAACATTTTTGAGACGTTACTGACACAGTAAAAATCATTTCCCCTCAAGCTCCTTTCTCTCCAATTAAAACTTCCTCTTGGAAAAGGATCTAGTATATGTAATCTACTTCATGAGAAGTAAATAAATGAGAAGTCTTGTGTTGGGAGTGGCCATTGTATTTTCATTTAACATAACTCAACCCAGAACACTGAGGGGGAAACAAGAGTCTTGGGGGAATGACAAGATTGTCAGGTGTATCAAAAGGGGGCATGAGCTTTAAAATGTTGAGAAATGCTGTCTTAGGTCAATGACCTGATGTCCGGTAATGACATCGAGGACCCCAGCTCGCTGGGGAGAGGCCATACCACACGTTTGTCAACTGGACACACTTAAGCATGAGCCCGCCTGCACTGCCCTAGATCTTTCAGTACCAACCAATTCACGAGATCTGTCTCATCTCTATTTTCGCTTGGGGGCTGTTCACATTTATAAGTCTCCTGGATTTTTTTTTTTTTTAACATGAAGAATATACTGTAAGACTTTACTCTAGATCCCTCATCCCCAGAAATACCTTCTCTGAGTGCCCAAAAAGGAATGGAATTTTCTGGGGCTCCCAAATTGCCAGATCAGTATTTTCACATAGTTGCCAGTCTGTTTGTATTGTGCATACAAAAATAAAAATACTATTCCCCATAGTATTAACTGTTTTTCTCATCCTTAGATTTAACAGTTATGCTAGTAACCTTGTGTAATATTTAATAGAGTCTCGCTCAAATGCAGCCCAATTTTCTTTTCAAATAAAATTCCGTTTTAAGCACTAGGATTTGTATGCCAAATTCGGTCCTTTAAAAATAACGGAAGATATAAATTTTTACCACTCAGTTACAGGCTTTGGAAAAGAGAAGGTAGGTAATGAAAAATATCATACAAACTGAATAACTAATCACAATAACAAGGGCCATCTCCACAATGCATCTCCCACACGGCGGGATTAGCATGCAGGTCACATCGAAGCTGACTGAGATCTGAATGGAGTGGAAGCTTGCTCACTCAGCACCTTTGGCTTTCAGACCCTATTATCTTGCTTACTTAGTAAATTTAATGTTGTGTAATTTACTTTTTATTGCCTCATTTGTAAGCCTTTCTCTTTCTTCAACCTAAGATATCTTTAGGGGCTTAGATGGCCTATTACACTCAGATGTCCATTTTTATAAAAGAATAAGAACTCTTGTTAAAGAAGATGAGCAGCAAACGCTGCAATTTATTGGAGCCGAGAAAGAAGATGCTACGTTGTGTTCCAAAATTATCACAAGGATGGATTGCGGGCTGGAGAATGGGAAAAGCCGTTCAGCAGTGCATATTGCCTTCAGCAGGAAGACCTCTACCAAATTATTAAAAGAACATGCATCCCTCTCAGCATTAGCATTTTTCCCTCTCGTGAAAGACTAGGGTCTTTTATAACTGATTTGCTCAGATATCATTTCTCTATTCAGAATACGTATTTATATATTTTTTTCAGTTAGCACAAATCCTATTATTCTTCCTTTCTACCACCTTACAACCCTCATCTATTATACTACTATTACTCTGAGATGAATATGACCTTGGAAATCAGTAATGGAAGGCACCGCTCACAAAAGGACAAACACAAAGGAACACATTCTACACATTTGCAAATCCAGAAACCCAATGCCATGCTTTAGGAAAAAAACAATATGACAATAATTGGAAAATCCAGGTAAGTTTAAGGTCTAATCTTTACAGACAAGAGTATGCATCCCCAAGTAGTTGGTTAGCTATCTTAGGAATCTGTAAGAGATGGTCTTACTTTAAAAGTTAAATCTGATAGCAAACTAGGATTCATAAAGAGCCTACCAGGTGCTCAAATTTGGAAAAAGACATGAGATGACAATCAAAATTTCTTTGAGAACTAGGACCAAGTTAGAGTGTTCATAAATGAATCAAATATGAAAGGCACAGGGGCCAGATTGCTCTGAGCTCCTAGGCACAAGCCTGTGTGTTCCTGC